TAAGTGGACTTGATTTATGATTCTGTGAAGATACACAACAAAGAAGGGTGTTATGTGTAACTGTAAGTCACAGAGGCTATCCGTGGGGGTAACCAGGCACACATCTCCTAAATCTTCATAACTTGTAATGTGAACCTGAGTGTCAAGCTAGTTTATTGGTTGATAGTATAAAACATCTCCAAATGATCTTCATGCACACCTATGTGCATTCCAGAGAAGCATGTTTCAGCCTCAATAGGTATGACAGTAACAGGGTTTTGCATTGAGGGGACTTAGCATTGAGGTCCCTGCTTTTAGAATATTATAAACATAGCTTTGAAAAGAAATCATTTGCCATCGATAAGAAGTCTTGAGATTAAACTTGGATTTTGAGACTTGATTTAAACTTTTCTCGAGTGAAACCACTACAGCTTGGATAGTGGTTACATCTTAAACTTGAACTGCTAGAAAATATTCTTTTATGTGGTTAAAATAATATTTGTCTACTTATAGGGGCATTATGTAGTTTTCAGGGGCCACTAGTGGTGGAGTTTTTAGTTTGCAACCAGGTATTTTGTGTATGCTTGAACTTAAGAGCAAGCAATATTACACAAAATGCTGGAAACTCAGGTAAACTCCCACTACAACTTTAGAGTAATATTTTTATCCGCTTGAATTAATCCATGCTTGTTACATGATACCGTTACATTGACTGCATTTAGCCGACGTGATATTTCAGCATTTGCTAGCCTACAGCTTTTAAATAACTGTTTGTGGTTCTTACACAGCAATGTGGGCACAGATAAATGTACTGTGTAAGTGGATTGTTTTTATGTGATGTTACAACCCCTTCACAAGGGCACTAAAAAGTGTTTTTTGTCTTTTTTGACCAAAGACTGTGCTATGTGTGGAGAAGAATTAGGAGTTCCAGGGAACAGCAGCCAGAAGTTACTAAGGGACAAAGCGATGGACATGCTGAATAAGGTGACCTGAAGCAGATTATTTGCAGACAAAGAGCTGTGGATTTTGGCAGCTTTGTCTCTTTTTTCACCCTTTCTATCTTTCATGACCAACTCTTTGCTGCCATGTGTCCTCATCCCACACTACCCTTCATATCCTGACACCTTCACTGGCTGATGAGCCTCTTGTCTTGTATTCTTTTCTGAACTCCTCTCCAAACCTAATGATTTTGCTCTTGTTGTATAGATTTTGTCTCTTGTCCTCTCTTTCCACCATCTCTCTCCTCTCTTCTCCAAGACTTCTAAACTTCTCTCTCTTGACAGAACAAGTTTCAGACACAAGATTCCTCTCTCTTCTCTCTGGTTTTGGGACAAATGTCATTTCTAATTTCAACCCTGACTCTCCCTCCCTATTGTTTCATTATCTCTCCCTCAGCCCAAACACCAGATAGTACACAAATGGAAAGGAAGCACCATCCCCTTATCTGTTCTGCTGTCCTGCATTTTTCCTGGACACAATCTTGTGCTGTGTGACTTTGTTTTTATTTCTCTACTCTTTTTCTTTCCTTGTCTTCTATACCTCTTCTGCTTCTTTCCTCTTCAATTTGTTACTTTTTCCTCGTATGTCTTTGTTTATCATCCATACCCCGCCTCCCTACACTCTCTTTCCTCTTATTGCTCTGTCCTAGCTTAATCCTAAATCATTGCCGAAACAGATGACGATGATGATGAGAATAGAGAATGGCGAGCGAGGAGAGTATTATAGAGAATACCTCCCCTTCTTTCTCTAAGATGAATCGGGAATAGTCTACAAAAATGTTTTTTTTTTGCCCCATGCGAGGACATTGCGTTTTTTCTTCTGGAGGTTTAACCTACCCTTAACTATCACAGCTACTGTGGCCATATATGGGCTCCGTGTTGCTTTGAGCTAAATGCCAACATCATGCTAAACATGCTGACAATGATAACATGCTGGGTCTTACCATGCTCACAGTTTAGTGTGTTAGCGTGCAAGCATTTGCTAATTAACACTAAGCACAGTAATGCTGGGGCTGATGGGAATGCCGGTATTTTGTCATAAACCAAAAATTTGACCAACTGGCATTGTCAACCCTACATCCATGCTGCTACATGCGTTGCTAAAAAGACAACATTAAATGTTGAACTGTGATGGGGTGCAAACTCTGGTCTTCTTCTTAAAGCCCACCTACCACCCCAACAAACACACAAGTACACTGCTGTAAATCCTGCACTGCTTCTATACTGAGCTGTACCAGAACAGACTGATTTTTGTTGTCATTACAAAAGAATGACTCTTTTGATTCATTTGTTTTACTTGAATTATCTAAGGATCTACCAAACACATTGGATCCAAGGGATCACGCGTTAAAATAAGATCACATATTTCCAACATGAAAAACCAAGACAGACAATATCACATGAAAAGTACCCCACCTAAAAGTCAATATCTATATTAAAATGGTAAATACAACAATAAAAAACATGTAATTAATGAATCAAGGAACACTCCTATTTTATGACTCATGTAACCTTTGATTAGTAACCTGTCATGTTGCACCATAAGGTAGCTAAGTTGACTGAAATTACACATAACATTTATTTTTTAAATAGCACTTCTGGCTTCATCATTTACTCAAGGCCCAGGGAAGGACCAAGTCTGTGAGCATCACTATTCAGGAACATGATAATGCTGTCCATATGATGCAACTTCTGTTGTTATATCATGACACCCTGAATCCACCTCTACCTACATGAGTTCAAAGAGAGTCTTCTTTTCTATGTTCCTCTTTACCGCTGCCTGTGTCTCACAGTAGATTCATTCGCAGCAGTGCAACAGCAGTTGGGTTGTTGATTTCCAGAATCAGGGAAGGATGTGTCATGCCTCAATCCTCGCTTGACTGATCAGCAGCAGTAGGCTGTGTGTAGTGTTGTTACTGACCTCATCTCAAACTCTGTTGAGAGAGGGCAAGATAAGAGATACTGGGCTGCACACACATTCACATTAAAGCTTGCCTGTGTGATTTACAACCTGACAGAAAGTCAAAAGTTCTGCTGACCTGCTTTTCACTGATTCTCTTGGTTACACTAGCAAATGATTTGAATTTATTAAGTGGAAGCATACCAATTGAACACTGTCTCAATTTCCCCTCTAATTGTTCCATATTCAATGGTCCTCTGCTAGAACCTTCATAAGAATTTTTTTAGGAAATTATTACAGAACCATGGGACACTTAAAATAAAGTTGTAACCATATGTTGATGTTTCAATTTTGATTTGAAAATGAAGGTTTCATATTACTGATAGTGCTTGACCTTTGTTATATAATGCCAAGATGCAAATAATACATGTCAGCAATCAAAATTCTATCTCTGTATCTACTATATGTGGTGGTTTGAATTCCTTAAAATAGGCCCAGTGCTTTGTTCTGATCAGACTCAGTCATAGCCTCAGTCACACGTGGATGGCTATGCAAGGTTAGTTCTTCATTCTTATGCATCAGGAAGTGTACTAATCTGATGTGAGCAGACAGTGGTACACTTTGGTAATTAAAGCCACTTATGAGTGGACAGTTAAAAGCCTGAAGCCTGCATCGTGTTGGATAACCAATTAACCATTTCTTTAAATTTTTTCATTAGCAAAACGTGAAAGGAGGGTAATATATTGAATATGAAGTTTAATGAAACCACTTTTATTGCTGCAGCTACAACAATGTAATATCTTACTGAATTTAAAATATGCAAGATAAAATCAAATCAATAGAAGATTTAAAGTAAATAAACATGAATGGCGCACTGTCAGTTCTTAGAGGAAAATTAAATGCCCCTGAAGCAATGTTAAATATCTCTCAGCCAATGTTTTGTTAACCTTTTATTTATTCAGGGGACTGAGAGGAAGCCTCTCTTTTGCAGTAAGGCCCTGATCACATTCACAATGTTACACACACCTGGAAGCTGCCCAGTACAACCACAGCCTAGTCTGCTGGCCACTAAGCAGCTCCACTGGAGCTGTTGGGTTTATGGGCCTTGCTCAAGGGCTCCTCAGTGGTGGTAAATGAGGGAGAGCAAGCACTGCTTGGTTTACTTTCCACACCCAGATTTTATCCTGCCACCACTGCACTTCCTTAAATTGATAAGGTGACATTTACTTTCCTTTCTAAATAATAATAGTGATAATATACAATAAATCTGATATTGAATTGACCCTTCTCTAAGCCACGCCCCCTTAGTTACTGTTACTAAGTCCGACAAACTCTTGGCGCTGCCACTTTCTATTACTGCACGCCCCGGAGAAATATTGTCAATCTCAAACGGACGTGAAAAAATTAAAGATAGAAGCTAAAGCCTACCAATCACACAGTCCAAGTGAACCACCGCATCCCCCGACGATTGAGACAAAAGACAACGATATTAAGGATCAACACTGCTCCTGTAAAGCTGGGTAGTGTTGTGGGATTGCGTGGTGTGGGGACAGAGAGGACCCAAATGCAAAGTTCGGAGGGAAGGAGGTTTATTGAGGGAGAAAGGGGTAAAGGGACTGGAGTGGAGGAAGAGGTGGATGTCGGGAAAGCACAGGCACGGGGAACCAAGGAGACAGGGGGCCAGGGAGCCGGGGAACACAGGGGCCGAGGAAGTGAGGAGAGGCGGGGGAACAGGGAGGACGCCGTGAGGGAAGTCCGAGGAGGAGTGGGCCAGTGGATGAGCTCAGCCAACTGAACGGAGGACGAGGGTGAGTGTACCTGGGAGGGAAACAGAGAGACAGGGTTAGGGATGACAGCAACAAGGCACAGAGTAAATGTGAAAAAACAAGAAACATGAAAGCCTGAACGTGGGGGTGACACCGGGTGTGGAGCAACGACGATCAAGCGAGGATGGTGTGGAAAACCGGGGTTGAAATACAGGCATGGATGAGGTAATTACTGGCAGGTGTGGCAGGCTGACGAGGTGCAGGTGCGGGTCGTTGGCTGGGCTCAGGAGCAGAGGGAGAGAGAGCACACAGGGGAGAAAACACAGGGAGGCAGGCAGGCAGGGAACAGAAAACCAAGGAAAAAGCAGCCGGGCTGCCACCACAACAGGGTAGGCCCCTATTCATTATTACAATCATTAAAAAGCAGAACAGAAGGGGTTTATTACATTACATACAGTGGAAAGTTAGCTAGCATTAGCTAACTAATATTACATTAGGAACAATACACAACACAGCCGACATTTTTATGGATTAATTTCAGTTTTAGGAAAGAGAATAAATCGTACTTCTCCTTTCAACCTCTCTGGGTAGTGACTGTAACTATTATAAGTGCCCCAGGAACAGCGTTTGACCAGATCTTAGAAAAATACAGCCAAAAAAAGCTAGAAAACAACTCCTTTTGCATTAAAGCCATGAAAGTGTCAGACCTCAGTTAGAGCAGGTCCTCCCAGAGGAAAGATCTTTTGCTCAGCATAGTCTTTTCTTTAACTCCTGAGAAAATAGTATAGTCAATAGTATATCTTTTTGAGATCACTCCAATCTGAATTGTTGCTCCTAAAACCCCTTAGGAGAAAAGGATGAGATGAAGTGAAATTGAGGTTTTAAGACTTGGGTAAGACAAATAGATAGTGAATTGAGATTACAATAGGATAAATGAAAGTAACAGATGAGATCTCATCATTGTATCTTTTTGAGTTCATTAATGTCTTGCTTATTGCTCCTAAAAAGCAGTTGGGGGCTCTGGGGAGATGTCTGTAAGCTTGATTGTATGACATTACTGTCTGTGCTTGGAGAAGCATGCTGGAGGCCCTGAGCTGGATTTGAACCCCACTCCTGTTCAAAGAGCAACAACACTGCCGCTGCACCATAGAGCTGAAATTAACAGAGAAGGACTGATAGTCTTTAAATAGAGTACAATTTTCCTTTACTTAAAAGAGGAGAAATATCATATCCACATTTAAAGTCCTCAAAATTCTACTCAAGTAAAAGGTATAAAAGTATTCCATAGTGAATGTACTTAAGTGTCAAAAGTAAAAGTGCTTATTCTGTATGACAGATACATGTTGTATCTCAGTTCTTGCGTGCATTTGGTCCTTAATGAATTAATCTCTAAACATTATGTCAAAGTATTGGGTGTTCCAGTTATGCTGGCTGTGACTACTTTAACAAATTGGAAAACATGACATTTGAAAGTGCATTATTATGTGAAAATTTATTTTATTTTTCTCAGTAACTTGTAACAGATAATTAACAATAAATACAATAAGGATTTGAAATTAAGGGGAGTAAAGGTACAAACCCCCATAAAATACTCAACCTCAACATTTGACATAAGTAAAGTACTTAAAGTACCCCTAAGTGGGGTCACTCAGACAAAACTGAGAAATATCTTGGAGTTTTTTTCTGATACACATTCTGGACTGAAATTACACTTATTTAAGATACTGTAGAGATCTCATCTTTTGATCAGAGTAAGACAGAGATGAGTTTTTGCTCCTGAGGCCAAAATGAGAAAACTGAGACATATTTCAGAAGAATCATGAGATCCCAGGAGTCACAGCTGAGTTTTCTTTGAGCTCTTTATCTGATCTCATGGTCCAATGTTCAGGAGACTTAAATTAGACTTATTTAAGATCAGTTAGAGATTTCTTGTTTTGATCAGAGTCAGACATAAATGAGATTTTATATGGTGGCTTCTCCTGAAATGAATTTGAGAAGCAGGAGAAAAGGCCTTTGGTCTCACCTTGGTATTTAAAGCAGCTCAAAAAGGAAACCACTATGAGATCTCATCTTGGATTTTGCTTTCCTATGGGCTATACTGCGCTGTGATTGGCCAGCTGTGTATTCGGGGTGCAGTTTAGCGAAGGGTCAATTCTGTAAACATTTTCTGATATTTGAATAATGTATGCAGTGGAGTGGGAACATTAACCTCTCTTTTGGAGCACAAATAAAATAGACAGCTTGGCAGACACAATGCTTGGTAATCTCCCACTGTTGACCGTCTTTAGTGCTAAAAATATTTGAGTTACTACACATTTCTTGCACAACATACAGCCTTATTGACAGGTGGGATGGATTAAAATGTTGAAAAAAAATCCCAATCTCTGTTGATCACTTGTAATCTCTTTTGACATCTCTAAGAATGTTGAGTTTCCACAAAAGGAAGACAGATGAGGCTTAAATCTTTCCTCACTATCTAATTTTTTACAGGACTGTTTTTGTTTTAAAAATTACTTACTGCTGCTCAAGTAATGGTGTAGCATACACATTTGTTACTAAAGGTTAGTGTCAAATTGAATTCAATGGTTCGACAAAGCAGGATATTAATTTTGACAAAGCAGGGATCTAGTAAATGTTTCTTGAGTTTAAATGTGGTCTGTGTTGGGACAGTCTGGCATGTACACATTTTTGTTCTGGTGTTTCTGGTGTAATTTAAATATTTGCATATGGAGAACCCAGATTATATATCTAGTTTATGTATATTTTTGGAGTATAATTGGTTTATAATTTAGTAATGAGAAGATTGATGAAATGTCTGGAGATATTTAAGAATGAGGTATCTGGGTTTGTCTTTTTGGAACATAGCCAGCAGAGAGTGAGCTCTTAATGGCCAGTAAGTCAGAACCAAGTGGCTAAATATTTTTTTATGTGCTTTACTAATGGGCTGAATGGGGGTCTCATCTGTGACATTACAGCATGTCTTCAAGGTCTTACACTGAGATGGAGCACAGTTCATGACATTGGGAGTAACATATATTAAGTATCTTCAGTTTTCTCAAAAGATGCTGAGATTCTCTCACAGTCACAAGGATAGGATGGCAGCAGGAACATAGGACAATGAGTAGGACCCCTGGTTTGTGACTCTTGGTAACATATACTGTTCTTTTAGCAGAACATTTATCCTCAGGGATCTTTTGTCAGACTTAATTGTCTCGGTTTTACAGAGAGCAGTAATATCAAACGAGGAGAAGCAGACATGATTAAAATCACTAAGTAGTCCAGGAAAACTGCCTTACAGATATTACTTAATTTACACCAGTTTGAGTTAGCCATTTCAAGTGGGAATTTTCACCCCACCACACCAAAACAGGGCAGAATGTCCTACCAAGCAACATTGTGTGTGCTTTGTGGTCTTTTAAACTATTATTTTTGGGGGGGCTTTTGTGCGTTTATTAGAAAGTGCTAATACAGAGATGACAGGAAATGAGGCAGATAGGAATGCAACAAATTATAAGTACTTGCATAAAAGATTATAAGAGAAAGAAAAAACAATTTTCTGCCATCACAGTTGGTGTCTTAATCCCTAAATCATGACAAATGTTTGGTGGTCAATGCAGCAGAAACTGGCAATTGTAATCAGGTGGATCAGTAAATATCATTCTGCAATAGCACAACAATGGACACAGTTGTGGCCAGCACAAAGAGGAAATGTCATTCTAAATAGACTAACTTTGGAAAATACAAACTTGAATTGGCTTACTCAGAATGGTAATGAGCTTTATAGTATATACAATTTATTTTTTTCACTGACTGGGATTTTTCTTACATAATCTGTATGGCACATTTTAGAGTTGGGGAGCTTCTATTCATCGTTTTATATATGGCAGTGGGTAGCTGGTAATTATTTATCTTTTTAAAATTGAGTTTTATCTGGTATAACACTCAACAAGTGATTGATGCAGTGTCTGTGGTGTCACCTTTTTTTGTACCAGGATGTAAACATGTTAATTTCTGCTGTAAAGTTGGGCATTTTAACATGGCGGTCTATGAATATTGACTCACTTTTGGAGGCAGCCTCAAGTGGCCGTTCGATGAAATGCAGTTTTTCACTTCCAGCATTGGCAGCAATTTTTCAGCCCCCGACATTGCAACATCTCAAGTCATGTCACTTCAGACAGTGTTAGTTGGGGCTGAAGTTTGAAAATTAATTAATATCAAGTTGAAGTTTACATCCCTGTCCAGTCTCAGATATGTAGTGAATACTGAATTTGATAAAGGTATAAACTTAATTTTTTGGCTAAATGGAAGTTATCACTATATTGATGATAACTATATGATTCTAGTGAATATACATTGTTGAACTGATAAATGAAAGGAGGAAAGCCTGTACAGTACTGGTTATTTTTATCTCACTGTGTCGTACGAGTCAACATGTGTGTGAAATCTGGAATCACTCAATTGATTCTTAAATTATAGCTAATAACCTAAGTTCACAATGATAGTTGACCTTTGATTTAAAAGCGTCACCTTTTTCAGGGTCTAACCAACTGTGAAATATTTTCACAATCTCCCCTTCTGTGCCTGAGTTATGGTGTTGAATAAATTTCAAAAACATGTTTAAGGACATTATGATGTCACAGTGAAGTTGACCTTTGACCTTTTGGGCATAAATGTCATTACTACATTGTTGTATCCCATTGAACATCTGTGTGGAATGTGGTCATGAGTACCACTTCAATAATTGACTTATGGCCAAAAACATGTTTTATGAGGTCAAAGTGACCTTTGACAATCAAATTTTAATCAGTTTAAGTGGACAGAAATTCCTTTCAGGCGATCCTGAGATATCATGTTTACGAGAATGGGATGGATGGACAACCTGAAAACATAATGCCTCCGGCCAGTAGACACTGTCTCTGCTTCCACTGTCATCGATTTTGATCCTTTTATTGGTTTATAATGTCCATTGTGAGTCCAACAATCTTATGAGTATAAGTATTCTTTCAAAAAAAGTAGTTTTAGCTTTAATAACTTTCAAATGTAGAATGTATAAGTTTGAGTGAGAGAAACGCCAATTGTGTAAGATTTGAGCCAACAAAACTGTTGGGATTCATATGTTTTGTGAATTTCTAATAAGAGCCTAAACAGGGAATATGCACAAATTGAAGCACTTTAACAGCTTAATTTTAATTCTGTCATCTGTGGGTTATCTCACATTCTCTCTCACATTTATTTCCTCTCGGAAATTCAAGCCAATTTGTCATTATCATTTGGCTGTAATTATGCCTACTTTATAGTGCCATTCTGATGATCCTTTTGAGTCAATGCTACAGATGGAATCGTTTAAGCACCGGGTTTTAAAACGGTTACAGTATGTGAAGTAGTCCAAAATTATGAAGACTGTCTTTTCTTGCTGTCTTCTGCTTGCTCCTTCTCCAGATATCCTGTGACTGTCCTTAATGAAGTCAATTCTGTCTTTGCTCAGTGAATCTCTGTCACTTTCGCTCTCTGTCCTTGCCGTTTCTATCTTTCCTCCACCTTTCTCTGTTCATTGATCATCCTCTCAGTCTTGGGGCCTGTCGTTTCATCTCCCTCGTTATTAGTAAAGGTTAAATGAGCATGGCTCTTTTTTTCCCACTCTGCTGGGAAAATGAAAAGATTTTAGATCAGATTGTCCTATCAGCTCTTGCTCAGTGACTCTCCTCTGTCACTCTGTTGCAGTATCACAACAAGTGCTCTTACGTAAATGATGGATTTGTTTATTACCAAAGTCTGGAAATGCGTTTGAGAGATTTGTTGGACATAATAGGCTACTGTTTTGCTTTGAAGTTTATGCAAAATGTACCAGTAATAAATGTTGTGTTGTGTACGGTTCCCATTAAAAGGCACGTGTATATTCTTATAAGTGTTTTCCTCTTTGTTCCTTACCAGGCCCTTTCTTTCCGTACCTGCCCACCAGATGTCTTCCCACATGGCAGAGTCTTCTTGCTCATTCCAGCAGCTGTTTCTAATTAGTTATTAGCTCCTGTATGTCCCTCTGTGAGTTCTTTAGCTGCTACAACTTTTAGAAAGTCTGTACTTTTCTGGTAGCAACCTTTCATCACATCACTCAAACTTTTCACTGTTTGTTCTGCTCTGTCTCTTCCTCTAGACAAAAGACATGTTCAGTTACTAGCAAGACTCACTCAATGCACAAGCGCATTCAGTGTCTTCATTTATCTTAATGAGGATTGTGGCACAATGTCGGTGGGGCATCATCCACACACTTTAGAGAGCGAGAGGTGTCAAGGCGGAGACAAGAGTCTTGCTGCTAATAGAACGGGCTTGAGGTGCATGCCTACAGCCTTGCAACCTCACAAAAGCAGAGACCACAGAGTAACACCCTTTACATCACAACTAATAGTCAGCAGGCTCATTTACTCCATTCCAACAAATTATCCAGGTACTTGGGGTAGCATGTACATAATGCAGTCAGGATTTCAATTTCATATTGTTTTTGATTGAGAAATGACAGGAAGAGAGGCAGACAAGGCACCAAAAAAAACATGAAAAGAACTGAAAAAAGTACCTGACATGAAAAATATTCAGACAACCTGATTAGAATCTGTGAAACCACCACACCACTAAGCTCTCCAGGTCAAAACTATTGGTTTTCTAAGTATGGTCCACTCTACTGAGAGACATGCTAGATCAATTTGTCGTTGCATCAACACGTTACTCCATTTACCTTGCTGCTCATAAGATATACCACAGGGCATTAAGGGACGATATGATTTATGAGTTTACCTGGTAAACTCATCTAACACATACACATTTTCCTTAATTTGTGGGTGGTTGTATATGACATGAATGATATCTTGAGCTGAATACCTTTATACCTAACACACAATTTGATCAATTATTTAAACGCTGCAATATGTTTTCCCACTGGTCTGTGGTGAGAGATACTCCTTGCTTTCTTTCCAACTGTGATGTTATATTTATGCTGTGATGCTATATTTTATCTTATAAAAAGTGTATGACGAGAGTTTGTAAAGTTTGGAAACTTTTGCCACTCACAGCCTCTTGACGGCATGACACCCCTTATATTCCATTTATTTTCAAGTCATTAAATTCATTTATATTCCCATCAGAAAGCAACTGACAAAATTTTGTAAAATTGTTCTGCTGCAAAACCCCTTTCCAACTGTAAAAGTAAAGGGTTCTTCCAAATTGGACGTGAAAGGCAAGGATAAGCCAGCAATAGAAAGACGTCTAAGAAGTTCTTTAGCTATGTCATATGAATGGACAATCAGAAATACTTTATTGATCCCAGAGGGGAAATTGTTGTGTTACAGTTGCTCACATTGATAATCAAGACATAAAGAAATGGTAAAAAAGAAAACATAAAAATATACATCTAAAAATATAAATGTGGTGTGGAAATATGGACAATATGTATGTATGTAAATATGAATCTCTTGTACATTATTCTACAGTATGTGACAGAAATGTAATAAATAAATAGTAGGCTGGTAATAATAAGTACTGACAACACTGAGAGATGGAATGAATTTATATCCTTAAAAACTGCAGTATTGGGACAGAGTATTTCACATCGAACAGAGTTTATTACTGATATTTCTGTTACATTTAAGGGTCGCATAAATCTAAAATATAGTTATTATTTTCTTCGCTGATCTTTTTCTCCAACGAGCTACCTGTTCATATTGATCTTATTATGCCCATGACAGTGGAAATTTACAAATTTAAATAATATAAAAATCCAGAATAACCAAATCAAATCCTGTTTTTTTTTTTTTTTTCATAAAAACACTGTAAACCATTTATTAATTTCTTGAAACTACCATTTTTGAAATTTTAGAGGAATGGTAGAAATTAGTTATCTGGGGAGTAAATTGATTTTAATCGCTGCTCTCCCCCATAATGATTTATCTCTTGAGGTCTACCTGTATTGTTTTCAGGCACTAACTTGTACATTTTGTCAAATGGAGTTTTGATTATAATACCTAAAGATGTCATCCCTTGTGTTTTCCACAAATACCGAAGGCATTGATGAGCTTCAAATGGTGTGGAATTGAGTCACCTGGGTTAGTGTCAGCAAAATGTCAATCAACATTGGCTTTAAAATCATAGCCATTAAGATTAACGCTGCTTATGTTTAGTTTATCCAAAGCGACTTACAATTGCTAAGTATGTCAGCCTCTGGAGCAACTAGGGGTTAAGTGTCTTGCTCAGGGACACACTGGTACGTGTCACAGTGGGAACTGTACACGGATCTCTCACACCAAATGCATGCGTCTGATCCACTGCTACACTGCTCCACCGCTCCACCACCACCTCCCCATATGCCCCAAGCTCATTCAAGTGGATTTCTTGAAACAATGTAACATCAAATGCCAAGGACTTTAGATGTGAGATACGTTTGCATTTCTTTTACGTTATTTGAGACCCTATTCATGATATATTTTAATAGTGAACTCATTTCAAATGCTGAACATTCTGTCTCAGGTTAATACTATGCATCTTGGTGGGGGGGGGGCATTTACAAAAAACAAAACACATAAGACACACAGTACAATCCTCCAATACTCATTATCCAATAGGAGACAGGTCTTCAGATCTTTGGATGCCTCATTAGGAGTTTATAGATTTTTTTTGTTCCATACACCATATCAATGAGCCCTGAAGGGTAGAGAACGCTGTAGTGGATACCTGCTGCAGACGAAGCAGAAGGCTGGATGAGGCATCCACTGAGTGCAGGAACAAACTTCAATTCCTTCCAATTTGAAAACACTCTGCAATGTCTGTAGAGGGCAGTTTTCCAGTCGTGGTCTTTCAGTTGAATGATTGGATGGGAGTTAGGGGATCATTCTACATAAGAGGAAAAAAAAAACATTTTAGCATTCATAACAAAATGGATGTGGTAAGGGGGGGCACAGTAATCCAAAATAACATTCCTAGGTCATAAAGATGGTACAATTTTAAGGGTGCCTTGCTTATTTGTGACTGACACATTTCTACATTTGCAAATGTATGGAATAAACAACAAACAATTTCACATTCAAGTTTTACATTGGGATAGACATTCAAATTAGTAGAATAGTATCAAATCACAACACTTTGCACCCATAACTGATAGCTAACAGTCTGATGATGTCTGACATTGACTGCAAGGCGGTATCAATGATGTAGATAATTGAGCGAAAATGTGAAAATGGTGCCTAATTTGAAGACAAAGCTTATACAAGCCATCACTTATTAACATGAAATCCAAGATGTGGAAGAATGTAGATGCAATTAAATTAAAAAAGGTAACATCTCCAAAAGCAAATTAACTACGATGTACACAAGCTTGTATAAATGATAGTGCACAACCAGTTATACCATATTAAAAGAAAGACTCATTCTCTTTAGAGTACATAGTTGATGCAATGAAAGTGGACTTTTATTTGATTAGATTTTGTGATGGCACCGAAACACGGTATTAAACACACACACACACACAGTGGCCAGCAGTGGGAGAGGCCACAGCGTTGCGGGGGAGACGGTGAAGTTAAATAGTAGATCAGATCAGTAGATCAGTAATAAACTACTCAAGTTAACGACAGCTATGCTCATTACTGCAAGTATGTGCAATAAAACCTTTGTAGGGTAAAAATGTCAAAAGGGTTCATTTAATCTGCTCTGTCCTCAGTCTCTCATCCTGTACAAGCACAGTGACGCATCGTCAACCGCTTATCCTGTGTACAGGGTCGCGGGGGGCTGGAGCCAATCCCAGCTGTCATCAGGCGAAAAGGCGGGTTACACCCTGGACAGGTCGCCAGTCCATCGCAGGGCCCAATTGTTACAAACAAGCTAAATAGAAAGCTGTCTGTCTGGAGCATAGACTGTTCTGTAGTCTTAAAATTTGGCACATTGTTGTAAACTCAGCTGCTGGCTGAGACAACCAGCCGCTCCTACTTCTCCCAGGTAACGTTACCCGTAGGCAGGTGATAACAGCAGAGAGGAGGAACTGATACAGACAGAGTTTTTCATTCTTTCTAAACGTCACTCAGTATTGGGGTGTCACATATTGTTTATGTAGTGACTTGATGTTGTAAACAACAAAATTAATGTTGCTGCTCTAGAAACAGTTGTATTTAAAATATTAAATTCTAATCCTATAATTAATTTAAGAACAACCAGGCATCTTCAATATTTGTTTTATTTATCGCAAGTCATATGTCATCTCAATATATAACAATGTTATCACACATCGAATATTTTTCTCTTAGCGTGCAGGGCCTACCTCTGTCCGTTGGGTCTGGTCTGACCAAATAACAGTCAATAAATAATAGGAACTATCGATAGTGGTATGGAGATTGTTAAGCAGTCTCAATAATGGCATCTATATCAATAAAAATTAACGATCCCCATCCTCATTTGTAATGTATGTGTTAAAATCAGTACCTGTAATAATATCCTCAGCCAAGGAATCCTCTTTTCTCCATGTGGGTTTTTTTTTCAGTGACAAATCCAAAATGAAGCGGTGGCAATTGTTGACTGCAATGGGTTGCATAGCATCGACCTCATCGCACAACTGAGATATAAAACAGAAAAATAGGGGAAAGAAATAAATTTTATTTGCAGTACTTAAACAACCTATAATACAAGTGAAGACCAGTGAGTACTTCAGGATTGCAGGTCAGAAGTTAATATTGCTTTTGACAAGCTTTCAGTCGTCCATTCTTTACTGGTTGTTACCACTGAGAATAAACAAATTATTTTCTCAAAGCCTGTACATATTTGTTATATTTGAACAGTAACACTTACATTGTACACTGACAGCATTTCATACAGACTCCCCATTATGTTGTTGCGGTACTGTTGTTCCTTTTGGACCGGTTCTGCAAGGCAGTCTGTGGCAAGTAGGTTCCCACCTGCAAAATAGCAGAAGAATCACTTTATCTTAGCTAATTTGCCATCACATTGATGCAGATTAGGACAGCTCTATGCAACAAAGAAAAGGTGAAAGAGTGGTGCATTTATTACATTCTTACCTCTGGTTTACATGGTAAACATGTTTGTTGTTCTGGCTTGACTGCTTCCAAATTAAGGGTGACCTCCTTGTAGCGGAGTGTGTAGTCTGAACTTTAACAGCTTTTGGTCAGACTTGTCAGAGATACCCGATCATACTCTCTGTGCGTATGCAATCCACTCTCTCGCCATCTACGTCATTGTCTGAAATGTAAATAAAAAAGCTATTAAATACACAGAAGCACCGACACTTTGGACATACAAAGCATGATTACTACAGAGAATGACTGACACAATTAATGGATTGGGTTAAGAACAGAACAAAAAACAATCTTGAAAACTTTAATTGAAAACCCCTTGACAGAGAAGCTGCTGTATCACTTAAAATGGTAATGTTATTTCAAAGTTCAGATATTTACCGCATTATATTGGTTAACAGCATAATTCAAACTGGAAAACTTATGAACTGAAGAAAGCAGCCATGCACATTAAGACTCTGCTTTATTTGTACCAATCACAGTTAGCCATGTCAATTTCTGCCCAGAAACTGCTGAGTCACCACCAGTCACAGCATCAAAGTGCTCTGATATCAACATCACCTGTGAAATTTGATCTGGTAAACTGCCCTGCTGTTAAAATAGACTGAGAACCCTGTTAAACTTACCATGAAACAAGACTCAAATAAAAATCAGAAACTGTAACGTTAGTCATTAGGACTAAATGATTCCACCGTCAGCAGCACAAGGCATTTCTGAACCTGTTGATATATATTTTGTGTGGAGTAAGTTTTAAAAACTGGTACTTTCTGGTTTGATCCAGAAAGTTCGACGCTGATTTAATGTTACAAAGCCCGCGAATAGAGGAGCTACTTGTCACACTTATCATTTCAAAAGCCCGCCAAGCCAAACGTAACGTTATAAGACCGACGGATTCAATAAGCACATGTGCAGAACCAGATATAGCACTGTATTGCTACCGGAACGTGAATTAGTGACTAACGTTATAATATCAGAACAAACTTAGCAAGCTATCTAAGGACATGCAATGCTGAACATTGGCTGTAGATACCCAGGCTAACATAACTCTTCAGATATTAGCTAGCTAAATTCGGATCGTTGGTTACCAGTATGGTAAATTACAATTAATGTGAAATTCACATTCCACTTACCTCTACATTTCTGAGCCGCCTCCTCCGGAATTTCAATGCCTCCTTCCACCACCAGCTTTTGTAGTAGCGCCTTAGTCTACAGACCGAGTGACATTGCTAGTAGCTGTAAATAAGCTAGACATCTTCGGCCCTGCTCGGAGTTTGAGCGCCAGACTGACCGTTAACTCTGTCGGGGCGGGGGAGTGAATACGGCAGAGGCATGTCCCGCCCTACTCTGCCTACTCTGCCGGCTTAGCCTGTTGATGATGATTCTCAGAGCATTTACATACATGTAAAGCATGTCGGTCATAACGTTAGACTGTGGTCATATCAGATTTTTTCTTTGATCTACAACCAAAATACACTAT